CCCCTCTGCTTGTTTATCTTCCATAATGACCACACTCAGGAGTTGGTAGCACCCAAATCAATACCAACAACTGCTCCCCCGATGGTTTCCTGCTCTGAAATAATTCTAAAAACCACGCGACAAAGGCCTTTCTAGTTACACTAAGGTCAGATGACCAGAGAGCCCTGGAGGGCTGTGGTCCCGGTCAGATGGGTGGCCTAGGATGGCTGGCACTTATCATGGTGGCTGGATCATGGTATTATGGGGCAGAAAACAGGCACTTGGACAGCCTGGAGCTGCACGGTGTAGCAGTAGCAGCTGTTCTGGAATCCTTCCAAAGTGAAATATTGTTAAAAAAAACGTGCAGAGACCTAGACTTAGAAAACCAAGGGCGACATTGGTCAGTGTAAGACATGAAAAAAAAAACCAATTAATAAATTATCAAGGGTTCATGAGGGAGGGAGGGGTGTGAGGGAAAAAATGAGGAGCTGATACCAAGGACTCAAGTAGAAAGAAAATGTTTTGAAAACGATGATGGCAACATATGTACAAATGTGCTTGACACAATGCATGTACGATAAGAGCTGTATGAGCTCCCAATAAACTGATTTTAAAAAGAAAGAAAGAAAAACAAACAGGGAGAACATGCTAAGCATATCTTAAACTGAAAGAACTCAAGATAAATTTAAGCCTCGAGTTATAATATTGAAAGATTCTATCAGCAAAATATTGAACAATGTAAGAAGCATCCAAAGAAAATGGAAAGGCTACACAGATTCCCTGCACAAAAAGAAATAGTTGACACTCGATCATTTCAAGAGATAGCACATAAGCAAGAATCAATGGTACTGAAGGAAGAAGTTCAACTTGCATTGAAAACATTAGCCAAAAACAAGGCTCCAGGAATTGATGGAGTATCAACTGAAATGTTTCCGCAAGCTGATGAAGCACTGGAAGCACTCACTCCTCTATGCCAAGAAACCAGTAGATATAGCTACTCGGCGAACTGACTGGAAAGAGATTCTTATTTGTACCCATTCCAAAGAAAGGTGACCAGCCACGATGCACAAATTATAGAACAATATCATTGATATCACAGGCAAGAAAAAATTTGCTGCATCTCTCCCAAAAACATCAGGCCAGATTCAGAAGAGGATGTGGAAAAAGTGCTGGAGGGTAAGGATGTTACTTTGAGGACTAGGGTACACTCAACCTAAGCCTTGGTATTTTCATATGCATATGAAGGTTGAACGTTGAATAAGGAAGACCACATAAGAATGGATGCATCTGAATTGTGATGCTGGTGAAGAATATTGAAAAGTACCACAGACTGCCAAAAGAACAAACAGTTCGGTTTTGGAAGAAGCCAAAATGCTCCTTCGGTGGGAAGGATAGGGACTTCATTGCAGGTACTTTGGACATGTTAGCTCGAGAGAGACAAGCTCCTGGAGGACGTGACGCTTGGTGGAATGGAGGAGCAGTGAAAAAGAGGAAGGCCTCTGCAAGATGGATGACTGGGTTACAGCATAAGGACAACTGTTAGGGTGTCGGAGCACCAGGCGGTGTTTCACTCTGTTGTGCATAAGGCCACAATGAGTTGGAATCATCGAACAACCAAACTGAATATTTTCTAAATTTCATTTAATGAATATATACTGCTGTTATCCGAGGAAAATGTTTCCTAAATAAATTTACATATCGATTGCAATCACTTTCAAAATTCCTAGGTTATTTGAATTAGTACAATCGTTTTCAATATAATAGAATCAGATATCCCAGTCATCTAGTTGATGAGATCGGACAGCAGAGCAAATGAATTCACCCCAAGCTATTAGCTGGTACTACAATTGTTTCCAATACAATAGGGGGGCTTCAAATAGTTTGTAGAAAAATTCCATTATCTTTTGATTGAATTTTCCCGTGACTTTTGGAAGCCTCCCCTTATCCGCACACCGTGAAAACACCTGGCAAAAAGCATTGCAGCCTTTGTTCTCAGTTCTTTCTGGTTATGTCAACACCTAATGGTGGCTGATCAAACCAAGAGCTGGCACCTAGGGATCCAATGCTGACACATTGGATGTAATCCACAAATTTGGTAAATCCCACAAAGTATGTAATCTATCATGGCCATGTGAGGGAGCTGATAAGAACTCTGAATCCACAGGCTCCGAGGAAATTCCTGATTTGGGATCATGCACAGGAGCGGGTAGCCCATCCCTCTTTGGGATATGGCATCTCTATGCTAAACCCTCCTTCAGACCTCACCTCATGTGTCTCTTCATTTGTATCTTTTTTGGTTGTAATCAAGCTGTAGCCACAGAAGGGTATATTCTCTGTGAGACTATGAACCTTGTCCTTCTGAGTGATGAGGGTGTGGTTGCATGAGTGCCTGGTCTGGAAGATGATACCCATGTCACTTATGAGCTCTGAATGGCAGCTATGGGTCAGAAGGAATGTGTGCTGCATGAACAGCTGGCAACAAGAATGGTACAGTGGAAAAGTGAGGGCTGCATTGGATTCATGCTAATATATACCCTGAATATGGTAAGGAAGCTAAGAGTCACCCACTATCCCCCAGGCTTAGTGCAACAGCAATAGCCATGTGAGGCTTTTATTTCTTGACATTTCTTCTATTTAGGTCTGTACATTTCTGAAGGCAGCATTTACATCTTTCCAACGCTTCCTCAAAGAATCCTGCACTCTTCTACTTACAGCAGGTCAAAATAGGCGTACACATTTTGTTCCTTTTAAACCTTTCAGTTTTGGGGAGGGTGGGGAAGAAGTCAAATGGGGAAAGATTATGGCTATAAGGTAGATGAGGTGAAGCTATCTGACAAAATTCTTGTAAGACAGCCCTTGTTACCCTCAAAGAATAAACAGGTGCATTAAAAAAAATTCTTCAGTGCAATTTTCCTGGCCTTTTTCTGTACTAACACACTTTTCATTTTTCTTGCAAATAAGTCTGCTGGTGATTGTCCTCCATCCTTCCAGAAAACCTATGAAGTTTACCCTCTTTGGAATTCTAGAAAACAATCACCATAACTTTCTGATCTGCCCTTGTTCCCTTGAATTTAACTGGCTCAGAAGATCCCATCAGAAGTCCCTGATTTGATTGGACCTTGTTTTTGCAGGCACTGTAAGAAGAATTAAGACAAATGTATGACAAAGAGAACTTGTCTGCAGTCACTCACTGATTGCGAAGACATGTTTAAACATGTTCTGAAGAAACCTGCACATGTTTGAACTGGTACTCTCGAAGCAATATTTTTTCTTACCCTAGTATATTCAGGTAGGTAAACTATGATCAGTAATACTGTGAAACTTAGACTCTTACATACCTGATGTCACTCTAATTGATCCTGGCAGCTTACAAAAACAGCAATTTTCAGAAGTGAGAAAGTAAAAATTATCTTGGATTATGAAAGTAACAATCAGTGCTGCCATGGAAAAGGATAGAGTAGCACACATACCAGGTGCCCTTAAAAGTTCATGGGAAAAGTTCCATTATCTCTTAATTCCATTTTCCACAAACGTCTTTTGAAGTCCCCAGGTATGAAGCCAGCTGTAACTGTAAAATGTGACAATGACCGACATTTTTTTTAGTAGCTACTGCTTTCATACTCACTGAGTAACACTATTTTCTACAAACCCAAGACTATTTGAAATTATGCCACTAAGAATGAAATATTCCGTTCTTGCCTAGAGGAGTTAAGTCACTTAGAAACAGAAATATAACTGCAAGTTACAGCCAAGGAACAGAGTTTCAGAAGACTAAATTAAATATTTATCTTGACTTTGTGGCTTCAAAGGAAAAGGAACCCCAGGTCCAACGTAGAGTCCAGATCTAATATTGATCCCTTTATACTCAGCCAAGCCTTGCATTTGGCCTATGTAAACATTACTTAATTTAGGCCTTATCCTATCAAAAAGTATAGCGTCTGGGGTCTTAAAGGCTTGAAGGTAATCAAGCGGCCATCAAGCTCAGAAGCAACAAAGCCCACATGGAAGAAGCACACCAGCCTATGCAACCACGAGGTGTTGAAGGGATCAGGTGTAAGGCATCATCAGAACAAAAAATCTTACCATAGTGAATGATGGGGGGAGTGCGGAGTGGAGATCCAAAGCCCATTAGTAGGCCACTGGAGATCCCCTTGCAGAGGGGTCTCGGGGAGGATATGAGCCAGTCAGGGTGCGATGTAGCAATGATGAGAAGTACAACATTCCTCTAGTTCCTAAATGTTTCCTCCCCGCTCCCACTACCATGACTCGAATTCGATCTTGCAAGTCTGGCTAGACCAGAGGAGGTACACTGGTACAGATAGGAACTGAAAGTACAGGGAATCCAGGGTGGATGAGCCCTATAGGACCAGTGGTGTGAGTGGCAAAACAGGGAGGGTAAAGGGAGAATGGGTAGGAAAGAGGGAACCGATTACATGGAACGGTGTGTGACCTCCTCCCTGGGGGACAGACAACCGAAAAGTGGGTTAAGGGAGACGTCGGACAGGGCAAGATATGACAAAATACCCATTTATAAACTATCAAGGGCTCATGAGGGAGGGGGGAGCGGGGAGGGAGGGGAAAAATGAGGACCTAATGTCGGGGGTTTGAGTGGAGAGAAAATGTTTTGAGAAACGATGTACAAATGTGCTTTACACAATTAATGTGTGTATGGATTGGGATGACAGTTGTATGACCCCCTAATAAAATGTTAAAAAAAAAATTTAGGCCTTACCTAAACTCCACCCTTCCTCAAATTCCTATGCCTATCTCTTCCTTTACACCACAACTCCTGCCAATTCCTGTATGTGTACTCTCCCTTAGAACAACACACCTGACTCTGTTTATCCCGGGTGGCCTTTACCTGATGGCACTAAGACAGATGACACAATAAAATGATTTCCGAAGGTTATTATGACGTGCCTTAATAAGACAGGAACCCCAAACAAATACTGTACCGAGAATACTAGAATGTGAGAAAACAGACAAATTATAATGCAACCCGAGGATTATAAAGAGGATACTAAACAGAAGAACAATATGTGTTTCAGCTACAAACTGGGCTTGGCTGCTTCCATGGATATAATTCTGGGAGGAAAAAAAAAAGACAAAATGGAATCTTTAAATATATAAAATTTTGGCATTCTAACACTAAAATGAGCTATTTTAAAATTCTATACAACTACTAATTCACCTGATGCATGCAACATGTTTTAGGTCTCTGGTTTTCATCAGTAAATAAGTTTAGTTAGTATAAAAGCTATTTGTGTATTATTTTATTTTCACTATGACTATACTATGTATACCAACAACACAGTAACTGAAAACAAGTATTTAAGTGTACAAGAGCATGACGTATATAACGTAGACTCCATGAAGACGGGGACCACGTCTAATACCTAGCACAGTATCTACAAGAGTAGTGGATGCTCAAGTACTTAATTATTCTACTTCGATGAATGCTGACTTTCATTCTTAGCTACCTTAGTCAAAAGGACTCACCAAAAGGGATCAGAAACTTCCCAATTTTAAGAGCACACCATGGTGTTTTCAGCAACTGAAGTTTGTTAACAACTGAAAGATTAAAAAGTCAAAGACACATCTAATTCCTTTCTCTGCTGGCACTTTTCTCAAAGGGTAACAATAATTAAGGTTAACCTCAGTCTATGATAGGAGGAAACCCTGGCCTTTCCTTACCACGTGTCCTGTGTGTGGATTTTTATGAGCATATGGTGGTCCTCTTATATGATTCCACATTTGACCAGATGTCATAGCAAGCACAAAACACTAGGAAACAAAAATAGTAAAATATTCATATAACACAGTTAGTTTAGACGTTCCTGCCTGGTTAGATTACCTGGTATGAAGAATACATTTGTTCTGGGAATATATGATGAAGAAAATGATTATTTGCAATTAGAAGATCATTTTATTGGGGGAGCTTGCAGTTATTATAACAATACATACATCAATTGTATCTAGCATATTTGTACATATGTTGCCATCATTCTTTTCTAAACACTTACTTTCTATTGAACCCTTGGTATCAGCTCCTCTTTTTTCGCTCCCTGCCCCCCTGAAAATTATTATTATTTTCCCTCCTGAAAATTATTTGAAGATAAGTTATGCTTTTCTTTCTTTCTGTACTTTTAGGGATGCTTTTCATAAGGCCTATGTTTTCCCACAAGGATCACAAAAATCACAATTCAATAATATTTACCTCGGAAAGACACATTACTTTAACATTATCAATCAGGTAACACAAATTTTAAAATTGAACATTGAAAAGGCATTTTAGAAAAATATTTTCAAAAGAATTACAGGTTTCCAGGGAGCTGACAGCCATGAAATTTAGATAGAACAAGATGGTATAAAGCAGGTCCTCTCAGTTCTGGCCATTGTAATGACATAATAAGGAGAATAAGCTGACTTCATGGCAGAAAATAAAAATATATACCGTAAACTCCTTTCCCTCAGGTAATGCTACTTCTCATATAAATGAAAACCTATGAGAAAATACAACATTAAAGGTTTAACTAAATTCTTCCTCTGAAATGCACTCACCAAAGCTGCAAAAGCCCATCCAGTTTTGTTAAAGAGAAATTCCATATTGCTTCTTCGCAGATACACAAGTCCACCAATAACAGCCAAAAGCAATCCCAACATAAGGGGACCAGCATAATTTGGGGGTCGAATTACTCTGATCTAAGTATTAAGAAGAGAAAAACTTTTTAAAATATAAAATGTATTCATTAATTATATGGGCCAAAATAATTTGAAATGAAAGCAGTCTAAGTCGGTACAGTTAATTTGAGGAAAAATTGCATATTTTTATCCCATCTTAATAAAAAAAAGTTTGTATTTTATTCTAAAATGGAACGTAATAGGTATAATATTCAGCCGCAACATAGAAATCATGTGACTTTTTAGATAAGGCAGGCTTTGTCAAGTTCAACTAGATAATCAATGGGCTTAAAAAGGTCAAAAGAGTGATTTTCATGCTACATCCAATAGGGTGATGCAGGATGTTGCATTCTTTCATCAGGATAGTTCTGTTAAATGCTTCTTGCGAAGGGATAGGCAAATGATGACCGCCGCAGGGAAATGAGGACAGTATTAGGACCTCCAAAAGGGATACTGGCACAAGAACTTGTAACAAAGTACGGAGACTTACATTGACATCAGTTCTGTCAGCTATCCACCGGGCAATCTGCTCAGCTGAAAATCCCCGTACTTGCAACTCATACGTATCACCTCGTTTGGGTTTCCCTTTTGCAGGAAAGTTGATGAATGTTGGAGCTGAATTCATGTTTAGCTGAATAAAGAACAGTTCATGAAAATATAAATTATCTAAAGGATAATCTGAACTGCAAATAATATTCGGAATTTAGGCATTTCACAGATGAGGTAGAACAGGTTAAGTGACTTGCCTAAGTGGCCAGAGTCCTGGTGCTGTAGTGGTCCCACACTGGGCTGCTAACCGCCCGGTCTGCAGTTTGAAAGCACCAGTTAGCTACTCTTCAGGAGACAAGAGGAGGTTTTCCACTTTCTCATTGTCTCTTTCATTTCTTCTATTTGTTGAGTTCTTAAGATGAAGTATGCGGGAGAAAGATGAGACTTTCTACTCCCCAAAGAGTTATATTTACAGAAACTCACTGGGGCTATAAATCAAAAACGACTCTATGGCAGAGTTTGAGGTGGAGTTCAAACCCAAACGTACCTGTGATCTGCACCACTACCTTTATTACCTAAATATTAGCTCCTAGCTAAGAGACCTGCATTTTACTCCACTAGAAATGGGAAAAGTGTCCCCAAAGTGGAAATGTTTTAATCTGTTCAGAGATTACATAAAAGGATAAATTTATAAGAATTGTTTCATGTAATTAACACACACTCCAAATTGAGTACATCCTCCATCTAGGGCAGTGGTTCTCAACCTTCCTAATGCCGCGACCCTTTCATACAGTTCCTCATGTTGTGGTGACCCCTGCAACCACAAAATTATTTTTGTTGCTACTTCATAACTGTAAATTTGCTACTCTTATGAATTGGGAGAACCCTGTGAAAGGGTCGTTCAGCCCCCAAAGGGGTGGTGACCCACAGGTCAAGAACCACTGATCTAGGGGAATATGATGAAGATGACAATGCTCTAAAATCATAGCAAAAGCCAACGCAAAATGGTAGCCCTATGTAGAAAGCATCAATTTAAAAGGATTTATAAATGTTTACTGATAGACATCACATTTCTCTATCCATTGACACCCATGGTATGCTTGAGTGACAAGCATTGGGCTGGGATATTTTCTTAAGATACTCTTTATATAAAACTCTTTCTTATACACAAGAGTGTCCATGAATTTGTTTCTCTAGTCAACCCAGACTAACACAATATTTGTAAAATTTCAAAAAATGCATTATAGACTTATAGAAACCAATCTTATTCCATTCTGGTAGCCACTTCCAGACTGTTTTTCGCTCCCAGACCTTTTTTTAACTTAGCCATATCCATGTTTATGCACCAAGAAAAAACATGTAAAATTGCTTTGAGTCTTTTTAAAAATGTGAATTGCATATTAACTATATTAGTCTGCACTTTGCTTTCTAACATTCAACCATGTTTGAGAGATCTATTTAGTAGTTTCAGATAGTCGATGCAGATCAACCTCACTCTCATAATATAAGAAATTATGCTATTGATAGACTTTTAACAGTTTCTCCCCTCTTTTTTTCAATTAACAATGCTCCAAAGAGCATCCTTGTGACTACAACCATAGATGTAAGACTGACAACATTAGAGAGAATGGCACAACATCAGGTACACGGGATCAGAGCCAACTCGGCACCTAACAACAACATGCTGCAAATCTAGCCATGAATATAGTAGCGCGTATAGGAGCAAAGTTATGAAAACTTCTTAGACATAACCAAATACCTTGATAGAATGAGTTGCTGGGCATGAGAGTTCAGGATTAGAGTCTCATGGGGCAGCAAAGTCAATTGGCAAAACATGTCCACAAAGTCAATGTTCTATACTCTACTTTAATGAGTTACAACTGGAGTCTTAAAAACCTGTGAACTTTGAGATAAGGTGAAAGTATTGGAAAAATATCAAAGACATATGGAAACAGCCAGTCTAATGGACCATGTGAACCTCAGTTTCCTCCACTCTAAGATTAGAAGAACTAGATGGTGCTTAAAAGGGATCATATTAGAATGTCCTGGATAGAGTGGGAGAAAATGTGGAACAAAACTGAAAACCATAAAAGAGATCAGGCTTATGGAGTAAAACTGTTGGAACCCCGAGATTATGACTCTTAAGGACTGTAATTGAACTCATCCCTGTGGCTTAATTTTCAGCCAAACAATAGACAGGCCTATATGTGGAACAACTGCACCTCAAAATAAGCAGCCACTTGAGATCAAAAGGGCAGTATTAGCCCAAGGAAAAGTTCAGAAAGCGTCTGGGGTCTTAAAAGCTTGAAGGTAAACAAGGGGCCATCTAGCTCAGAAGCAACAAAGCCCACATGGAACAACATATCAACCTGTGTGATCATGGGGTGTCGAACGG